ACTTAGTTTCCTTTATGTATTATGTGCGATTTGGGGGGGGGGGGGTCGTTTTAGTTTGATATAATGATATAAAAACATCATGAGAATGCGATATAATATACAATATATATTGTAAAATATTGTAAAAAAAATAATGTCTAAATACGCTCTGATTCAAAATATTGGTGGACTTACTTGTTTACTGTCTCACTTACAATTTTCAGGCCATTTCGTTGAACTCGGCTTAAATTGTATATCAGTAATATTACCCTTTACTAAGTATACAAAGGCTGGCTGCTGTGACGCCGGGCGAACTTGGGCAAGACATAAATTTCAACAAAACTCGCCGATAAAATATTGCTAAACGCTTCTAAAGCAGCGGCTACACATCCGAACTCGTGAGTCGCTCTGTCCTGGAACCAAACCGTTAAAATTTGAATTTTTCGAACTTTGTAACCGCACCTCTCGTTAAAATATTTCTCCTCAACCCCCCTGATTTATTAATTGCATGGCTAGTTTTGTTGAAATTTATGTCTTGCCCAAGTTCGCCCGGCGTCACAGCAGCCCACCTCTGTATACTTAGTAAAGGGTAATATTACTGATATACAACATAGTCCGAAATCAACGAAATTGCCTGCATGAAAATCGACGAGAGTGAAGTAAATGACACAGTAAACAAGTAAGTCCACCAATAGTTTGAATCAGAGCGAATTTAAACATTATTTTTTACAATATTTTACAATATATAAAGTGTAGCTAATATTATATCGCATTCTCATGATGTTTTTGTATCATTATATCAAACTAAAACCACCCCATGGCCAAATCACACATAATACATAAAGGAAACTAAGTAAGTTATACTTTATAATTTAAAGTAGATGTTTAATGCAAAATATAATAGAACTCATTCCGCCCGCTGCTGATTTACAAAAAAATAAATAGATTTATGTTCTCGTGTAGAAACCAGAAATCGCAGCAAAAAATTCAAGTGTACACAGAGCCTTATAGTTTCTGAATCAGTGTTTTGTAAAATTTCCCCAAACAAGATTGATGCGCTACTGCTGACGTACCTTTACATTCCTTGATTCTTTATAAGGTGTCCATGAATTGGGTTCAGTGCCGTATGAAACCGAGTACGACTTTGCCCATTCATTGAGGTTATAGCATGTTCCCTGGGTTGCTATTCCTGTCACCGTGGTGAGTTGTCCCAGATCAACCTGAAAGCACGAGCCGACTCTCCCTACTGCAGTAGGTGCTCAAGAGCAGCTAGAACCTACCCTTGTCAGTCTTCCAAAGCTAGGTTTGTAACCGCTGGAATAAGTAGATGACGCCGTGATTGCACCATCAGGTATTTTACCACTTCTCATTCCTAATGGTTTGGGATCTGTACATGAAGCTTGAATAAAATAGATAATTATAGCCATTATATAGACTGTAGAAATATGGCTCTACTTTTGGTGTTAATTATTACGTTTTTAGGTTTTCTGTTTCAGTCGTATGTATAAAGATCAGGCTTTTGGTTGTCAAATGACACCTTCATTGAATCATTGCGTCATTGCGATAAAAAATGACCAAGTACGATCTGATTTAAAGTGGTCGGTTGAAATCGCATTTTTCCACATTCAAGATTGAGATTCTTCCAATTTCGGACATTTGTCGAGCTGCTTAATTTTGCCGCACATTTAAGAATCGTATGGCATTGGGTTTTATTATTACTGATTATTATTATTATACAGATTATTTCAAATCTAGTTTATTTGTAAATCTTTCAAATATTGTCGATGTGTTATATATATATCACGAGTAGAATATATAGAACATTCGCTGGATTAATGGCCGGAAGCAGGCATGGAAAAGAAGAAATTCGTTCATGTCATGATTAACATCACAAATAAATAACATCGTTCCCAACTTGGCCTTGTAGCTCAGAAGGTAGAGTGTCGTTCTAGAAATGCGAAGATCGCGGGTTTGATTCCCAGATATATACATATATAAGACTTTACTGATACTTACTATTATTCAAACATAATGCTTCATATGCATCAACATATTGTCTAACTACATTTGCAATATCCCTGCAACACTGAGGAGGAAGTGTGCTTCCAGCACTGCATAATGTTTTGTTCGCTTCAATCTTCTTCTTCGCTACTGACTTTATCGAATCACAACAGATTGCTTCACCAAGAGTAGCCATATCAAGACAACCAACGAAAATCAGAAAAATCATTTTTGCCATTTTCATTTCGTTGTTGTAACACGTTCCGAAGTTGGTACAACACTGCACAAAACTGACTTGCGTTTTCGTTTAAAACGTTTAAGCCACCCACGTCACGTGGATAAGTTTTAACCAATTAAATTTCATCGTGATATAGAATAAAAATTGTGTGCGTCACTTCATATCCAAAACTTTTTTGTTCTTTTGCCGACATCAAGTCTAATCAAGTTCTAATTAGATGATAATTATCTTATTAATTAATTTGGAAGGCATAATATACACCATAAATCTAAAATAGCGGTGCCCTTGCTAAGTTTGGCAGCGCTTTATACACTCTTAAAAATAGGTGTGTTGCAAAACACACAAAAATGTGTTATATAGCACGTTAAGTGTGTTATACAACACATTTTACTCTTGCGATTTCGACATAACACACCTTTGTGAGTTAAATAACACACACATCTGCGTTATATAACACACAGTGTACAGTACCAGTTCAGGACACTTTTGAGATCAGGGACGAACCACCCCTTGTGTGTGTGGGGGGGGGGGGGTGACGCCCCCTGTCTTTATTCCATCAGGTATACCAATGCAATTTAGCTGGGCAAATTTTCAAAATATTCAAGTGTCTCAGATTGAAAAGTAAGTGGTGGGGAAAAGTGGTAGTGAAAAATGCTCCGCTCACCAACAATTTTGGGAAAAGGAATGTTAATTAGCGACTTATCAGGTCCCTTGGAGAGCCCCCCCCCCCTTGTTAACATTCCAGGGCTACACCTTGTTGCTACAAGGCCAAATTGGAAAAGTCGAATACAAGCGCGAAAGGCAAATTCATTAATTTGTTAGCGATTTCCACCAGCCTTTCGCGCTTGTATTCGACTTTTCCGCTTTGCTCGGGGACAACCTTAATTGAAATAGCTGTATAGATTATAGCCTATAGGCCGCATCATATTTGTAAATATTTTAAAGTACATGTAATAAAGTGTATGCACGATTCCAGTATTAAAATATTCATTTCTTTTATCTGCAATTCTGTAACACATTTATAAGTGTGTTTCTGTTGTGGGTTCACTGTTTAGAAACACTGGTACAGTATGTGTGTTGTTTAGCACACATAAAAGTGTG